ACCACGGTTGGCTTCATGGGCTGGGCTATCCATAAATTTTTGTCAAAAAGAACATTTCAATATCAAAAACAACATGTAACATATAACAAACATATAGATCATATAGAGAACGAATTTATATCAAAAACAACATATAAGAGCTGCGCCTGCCACTGCGAGCCGCGCAACGATTTGTGAACCTCGAAGTGCACATTTCGTGGCAGGGCAGCACTTTGTGAACCTCGAAGTGCAGATTGCGTGGCAGGCGCAACATTTCTGCGGATCTCAAGCAGGAGATTTCCAAATCCCCTTAACGCATCTTGCCTCGAAAGTACAGACCCAAGGACCAGAGGACCAAGGGACCAGAGGACCAAGGGACCAGAGGACCAGGACAAAGGGAGGCATATAGTATTTTTTGATACGAATTGATGTTTTATTTGATAGGAATCAATGTTTTTTTTGATAGAACTTAGTTTCTTGTTGATAGGTATCCCGAAAAAGCCTGACCGGGAGCGGACGCGGCGACAGGACGGTACGCCCGCTTCTGCCGCGAATCCTTGCGATTCGACACGTCGACGAGACATTTCTGGGTTTTCGACCACGTTGTAGTCAGACCCATTTGCTTGAACATGAACATGGACCAGACCATTTTTCAGCGATTCGAAGAATCACGGACCATCACATCAACGGCTTCATGGGGCCATGAGGGCTCACTTTGCGAAACAACAGCAATCAGCTTTTCCATTCAACATATCCAATCCCCAAACCTGCCTTTTTTCTTCTGGTGAACGCGCTTCCAGGGACCAAAACACCAGCCAACCTGAAACGGACCGCAGAAAGACCTGCGGTCTGGACAGGAAGGTTCATGACACCATCCTTTTCTGCCCTCCCTTTCTGCTTCCCGGGTTGATGAAGGGTGGAGACCAAGAAAGCAGTGACATGGATAGAGTTCCTTTGAACATGATGTGCCTTTTTGATGCATTTGGTGGGCATGACATGTTCATGTTCATGTTCTTCCGTTCGGCTGCTGGATGACAAACTCTTGTTCGAGGCTCGACATCAACATCACTTTCTTGCGTCCTTCCAAGCAAACTTGAAGAAGCCCTGGTCATCTGCATAGCCCATGTCCTTTAGAGTTTTCGTCCATGGATGAGAATGGGATGGTGTGGGTTATGCTTCTGACCTGGCCGATTCAGGCTCCCTTAGATTCAAATTAGCTGCAACACCTGCACTATCACAATCTTCATTGGCCTGCTCACCTGTCTCCGCCGAACACCATTTTCGCTGCTGACAACAAAACCAGCGGAAAGTACCATTTGGCTCGAAGAGAGCTGCAGAAATCGTGGAATCAGCTTGATGAGTCATGAGCCCTCATTCTTTCAAACACCGCAAACATGTTGAATTTCTCACTTAGCAGAGTACTTGCAACGTCTTGGCCTGTAGATGGAACGCGTAACTACACGAATCTCGGCGACCTCCGTTGATCTGAGCGGGAAAGACCCCTGTGCTCCGTTCAAGTAGAACTTAAGAGACTTCAACTGACCCCCAGTTGAACACCTACAAAACCAATCCCCCCCAGCTTCTTCAGTTCGTGACCGAACTTGAAGGTTCCTTTGAAGTGACCAAGCCCAGGAGGCTTGGTTCGTGACCGAACCAGCCAGGTGATCAAGTTCGGTCACGTAAGAACCAGATTCACCCACGGTGACCCACGTAGTTCCCGGGATCGGCCATCAATCAGCCCTTGGAGGGGCAATCCAATCACCCACAGAAGAAGCAAACCTATCAAATGGAAGATGAAAGAGAACAAAAGCATAAAAAAGAATGCACACCAGAAAACGGTGTGTAAGAAATCGTTTTTTTTTTGGATTTTCGGTGTTCCGTCCTAAAAGGTGAAGATTGGAACGTGCGACATGTCGGACTTCCAGCCGAAACAGGCCCGCCGGCGATTTTCTGCGAACTCCCTCTACCGCCGATGCTCGCGCCACAGGACCAGACCGCGGGTCGCCCCGCGGGTCGCGGCGCGACGCGCCGTTTGTCTCCCAGGATTTAATGTGACCTGCCCTGACGTCGTCGCTGCGACCCAGTCAGATGCACATGGTCCACCCGGTACGCGGTCAGGGCTTGGACCCCTCACCGGTAGGTGCAAAGGCATCGAAACTGCTTCCAAATCGGACTTGTTTGAAGTCTTCACGGACTCCGTGTGGTGTCGATCGCGTCCTGTCTTGTCTTGTTTGAAGTGTTGAGCACCGTGAAACACGTTTCCACTTGTTGTTGTGTCAATTGCAATTTTCGCATCTGGAGCCCGCTCTTAAATGTGCTGGCATTGCGGGGCATGTTGAGGGGTGCTGGCGTTTCTTAGTGAGGCAAATAGGAGGAATGATGCATGACTCGACTAGTTTGGGACCCAAAGTCAAACATTGAAGCACATTCTAATCAGCCAAAGCAAGTCCTGGAACAAGGAAGACGAGTTCTGCAGCACTTTTGGAGAATTGGCACGAGTTCTGCAGCAGGTTTCCGTCGTTTCTGGTGTAGGATTTCCATGGATTTCCGTCGTTTCCGCACGTTCACCGTTCGTGTTCGTTGGACGTCGCCTGGGTAGGCCACGCAACATTTTGGGGTCACCCAGAATGAGTGACATGATGCCTACTGTTTACATGTGAATACCCACCCCAAAACAGAGACAACTTGGGGTTGGAGGCCATCGCGGTCGTAGGGTGGAGGCCATCGCTGGGATATGTCCATTGCGCTTCCGGGTCGAGTCGAGCACCCCGAAGGCTCACCTTCCTCTCGGATGCTCGGTGTCCGCCCAAGACCGGTTGGAGGGCGCTCTCTTCACGCGGAGAGTGCATCCAATTAGAGCAGCAAAGCATAACTTCAAAAAGAACCACACCCAACATCTTCAAAACTAAGACTTTGGCTCGTGAAAACAAACACTTCACGTCGAAAGCATCTTTGAACGCAGCAAAAAACAAGGCAAAAAAACAAGCCCAGGTGCAAAAAAACATGACGCGGCAGAAGTTCAGGAGGTTTTCGCCACAGGCAGCTCAGGTCGTTTTTGGTACCTTTGCATCTTTCTTTCCCACCCGTCCACTGACACTCACAGCAGTGGCTGCAAGCTCGACATGTTGCGTAAATCTGCATCCTAAGACTGAGCAATTTTTCACCTCTTCGGGACTTTTCCATCTCTTCAGCCTGGTTGAATACGAGAACAAATGGTCTGGTTGGAGTGAGAGCAGACCGTCGTTTTGAACCGAGGTCATTCCACGCCTTTCCACGTCTTTCCTTAGGAACAAGAGGCTACGAACGGGGCTCCTGGCACCGCTACGAACGGAACAAGGTTCGCTACGAACGGGGCGACCCTGGCATCCGTTTTCTCTTCCTCAACTTCTATCGCTCAAGCGAGGCCCATCTCTCAGCATTTCCCCGTCCTGCCCGAGACCTGCCAAGCAGAGCGTGTGATCCAGGTATGCTCATTCATGCACATTCATACCTGCTTTAAACCTACCTGCTTTGTAGCTTGAGCAAAACAAATCTAGCCCTAAGTTATTCTTTCCAAAAACTAAACAAAGCCCTAAGGCTAAAAGAAAAACTAAGTAACACTAAATGAAGCTAAACAACACTTAGAAAGCTAAAGAAAACATCACCCAGTAAATACTCATGGAAAGCACCCTCAGACAGCAAACATTTACAGGCAGTACATTCTCAAAGTCTTTTTCTATTTATATACTCAATGAGAAAGTTCACCAATGCAATGTTCAAGGCCTTCATTTGGTGTTCATCAACTGAGGGATTAGTGAACACGATTCACAACTGCCCAGAGTTTTAGGCTATGAACACTTATTTTCCTAGTGTTTCCTGCAATTCCTGCATGAACACCTTGAGGCCTGGGTTGAAAATGGGTTACCTGACTATTCATGAGTCCTGTGACCTTGAACGTGAATTTGTATTGTTGGATTGCAAGTGTATGGATTCTGAACTAGCCACCCTATTTTGACACATAGAGAGAATCTGAATCATCCTCATCTTCCTCGATCCATATGGGTTCCTACTAGCACATTTTTGACCGCTTGCTAAAAGCACACGTCCAAGGAAACAAAAGCGGTGCATGAACTTTCAATTGACCAATCGAACAAGCACAAGAAGAAGCACCAGGAGTCATCCCGAAGAACAACCCCTGGGTCACCTTCCTGTGTCTCAGTCGTTTATGGTTAGAACAATGGACGTCTCGAGGAAGATAAGGACCTGTTCAGTTACACGAAAATCACATAGTGGGTGCATGTCAAAAGGTATATAGACCTCCCAGTTCAATCCTCTGGAAGAACAAACAGAGACCACTCACCCATTGGTTGGAAGTACACAGCGAGGTGAAATGGCTGGGGCTGGTCCCAAGACCAAGCACTTGGCAGAGTCCGGAAAGCAGATCCGGTCGTCTTTGGGTTCTTGAACGATTTGACAGGAGACGATTCGTGACTAAAGGACTGATCTCTCATAGAATTACTGGTCATGGCACATTCTTCGTCCTCGACCTATGTCACCCGGTTTGTGGGACCCGCAGCCAAGAACCTTCCGGTGTGAACCCCGCTCGTCGGGGCCGCGGAGCAACACCATCCCTCAGACACTCGTGGGATCTCGTGGGGCTTCTTCTTTCGCATTCCCCGGGAGCAAACTGAAACAAATCAGCCATAAATCCTTTGGGTCAACACGGACAGGGAACAACAGCAATTCATTCCCTCCGAGACTGAACCAGCTGCAACCGAAGCATTGCACACCTCTTCACCACGGTACTTGTGTGAGTTTTACTGGAAATCTGGGAAGCAAATCATTACTGCGAGCGCTTCGTTGAAGCTATCCTGCGTCCTAGCTACGTAGCTACGTAGCTACTGCCTGCTACCTAGTAGCCTAGCTACTACCTCGCACCGCGGCCTACCTCACCGGGCAACAAAGACACACCGATTCCTTTGGTCACTTCTCCCGCCTCCACAGTGCCCAAACGCGTCGACCCGACTGCTGCGTCGCCTTGCTCAGCAGCCGGCCGGACCGTCCTGACCCGAGGTCCCGTAGCGATGGCCTTGCTCCGTGAGGAGCGATGGCCTCCCACCCGCTTTTGGAGACTAGCTTCAAAGACCTTATTTTTTATAGTAGCGTTCTTGCTTCCTAGCGATGCCCTTTGTTCCTTGTGGCTTCTGGCTCCTAGCGAAGAAAGACCTACCTACTAGTAGCTTCTTGTTACAGGTGAAGGCGATTGCCAGTGAAACGATTCCGAAGCTCTTCAGCTTTGTAGCCTAGCGATGCTCCCTAAACGATGCCCTTGCTAGTCTGCAGATCTTCCAACGTCATGTCGGCGGCGGCGCGCCGTGAAGCGGACGGCAGGAGCATGGTGTCAGCTGTGGCATCTGCTTTCGGAGCTGTCGGAGCTTCGGCAGGATCGGTTTCTGTCGCCTCTTTTGGGTCAAACGTATGGCAGAAGATGGTCAGGTTCAATAGGTGTACTGGCCGTTTTTGTGGGAAGAGACCAAAGCATCTCTAATTGGGTAAAAGACTTCATCTGCCTGATCTTTTGTTGAATCAAATGGATTGAAGAATGCACTCAGACCTCACGATTTCCCAATCCACGCTCGGCCCTCCTCGTTCTCCTTTTCCTCCTCCTTCGTGGCAGATCCCGGTACCTATCTCTGACATGTTGGGCCGCTGCAAGGAGCATGGCGCTGGGAATCTTCAAGAGGGGATTGCGAACGGGTGCAACACCGGTTGGGTGTCAAATTGCCAGTAGGCCATCGCGGTCGTAGGTTGGAGGTTGGAGGCCATTGCAATTACGTTGGAGGCCATCGCCTATCGGTTTGAGGCCATCGCGGTCGTAGGTTGGAGGCCATTGAGCTTCCGGTCATCCCCTTCACCACGAGGGCCACCAATTCCTGCGAGGGGGAGTGATGTGAAAGCCTTCCCCCAAAACGTCCAAGGTGAAATGTGTTTGCTTTGGTTCAGGGAGACCCTACCTGAAAAAAGGATACATAGCTCATAAATCACTAAAGCAACCTGCCCATGATACCTCCTATTTTATGCCAGCCTTTCACCGTCCAGTTTCTGGGCAGACCGCTTCGAACACCCGGCGAAACAGCTCCAGGAAACCACCACTCCGTAGCTTTGCCCGATCATGCCCGATCACAGTACTTCCCGCGGTACTTGCGATCTGAGCAGCTGACGTGAGCAAGAGGGCCTAGGGTCCTCCTCAAGTAGATAGAATGAAACAAACAAAACATGTCAAATCTCAAAACCATGGGAAAAACGATGGTCTTGGACTAATACCCACCTTCACCCTCCCTTTGATGTCCATTCTATGATAGAGCCTCTTCCATGAGTTTGAAACATCAAGGAATTGCATCAATTCGAGCACGCGATTCTTGGAAAAACACACAAGAGGGAGAGGAAAACATGGTCGAATGTGGTTTTTGTAGTGATTCATTGTGGTTGAGCACAAGGCGTTGTGAAAGAAAAACTGCGACTGCGTATGATGCGTTTTAGATCGTTTTAGGCAGTTAAATGAATATGTTGTAAAAACACAAACCAAAAATGAATCAATAAATGTAATTATCTATATATATATATATTACACACCCAGACGGGTTTGTTTAAGACAAGGAACCTTCTTTAGCTCACGCGTACTTTTATATGTAATTTCTGTGCTTTTTGAATAGTTTCGTTTTTGGAGAATGTTGTGCGACACATACGCGTTTTTTTCATGCCTGTTTTTGTCGTTTGATATAAAACACATTGTAATTGGGACTTCAGAACGGTTCCACCATTCCGAGGGTTTGCGTCGCTGTGTACAGGCAATTAATTGGCATCCTGTACATCCCCCACTGGTTTATTATCAGCCTCGCACGGTTCTCCAGAAGCTGGACCAATACATTTCTTGGTGCACACCCATACAATAGAAACTCTTCTTACGCTACGCTACACAATGCGACTGACTGAGAGTTGGGTGGGTTGGGATGTTCACGTTCGGAATGTCGAAGGAACTTAGAAGTTGGAATCCTGGACAATTTCCGCTCACTCCAGTTGTCTTCGTTTAAGACAATGACATAAACACGTTAAGAACGTGGTGTTTTTCACACATGTGTCACTGTCTTAAGTAAACGCGGCGGGAGAAAACACTAATATGCCACATACTATACAAGTACTTCCCGGGCAAGCCAGCGGCGGAAGTTTCCAAAAGAATAAACCTATAGGAAATGGGCATGTGGCAGGCTGATTCGCCGAGCTGCGATGCTCTTTGACAAAACAAGTTGGAACCGACCAATGGAGCGAAAGCAAAGCAACCAGAGCCAGAGCACTCTAATGTTGACTCTTGATTTATAAACTCCCCCCCCCTCTCAACAACCAAGGCCTCCAATATAATATATAAGAAACTCAATCAATTGGTAATTAAATAAGGAATCCTTAGCTAGCTACCTCTGGAGCTACTCTGGCAATAATAAAATACAAGGACTTAAGAAACCTAACTTTGAAGACATCTGGAATATTAATTAGAATAAAAGGGAATGAATCAATGGACAAAGAACTAACTTTTTAAATTTCAATGGAAAGCATCAAATCTCAATGGAAATCTTCAACTTTTGGAAAGCTTCACAACTAAAGAGCTTAGGAAAAGTAAATAAGGAATAGAGGGTGAGTAAAGCAAATCAAAAGGCAAAGAAAAGGAAACCCATATTTAAAGCCTCAAATCTCCAGACATTATTCTAGGGGCCCCCCCTAAATAATGTCAGAAAGCTGCTTGCTGGACTACCCCCTTTGCTTGATTGATTTTTTTGTTTTTCAATACTTTTGAATAAGGGATTTTATAAAGAAAGTGCGCACTGACTTTTGGAAACTTTAGGAAAGCTTCACAACTAAAGAGCTTAGGAAAAGTAAAAAATATCCCACTACAACTACCCCTCCCAAAAAAAAAGACATTATTCTGGGGGCCTTTATAAATCTGTGCAGGAAAAAAAGTGACATTATTCTAGGGTCGTTTATAAATCAAAGGTCAACATTAGCTCTAGATCCACTAAAGCTAACTGGAGCTAGACGTTAACTATGATGTGATAGCTTGTCTAGACACGAAGCCAATTAGCTCAAATTTGCCAACCTCTCAAAACACGTGTTTTGAGGTCTCCAGAAAGTAATCGAAATGACCACTTTTGAGTGAGCAAAGTAGCTAAAATTTGTCAACCTCTCAAGAGAGCCGGGTGGTCGGGAGACATGACTCAGCTGCAGGGGCGCCAGAGCAGCCGCGAGAGATGACTCAGCCGCGTACTAAAGTTGCACTACAAAGTCGCCAGTTCTCAGCTTCCAGCTCCCCAGATTGCTCCGCGCACTAAAGTTGTACCTACAAAGTCGCCAGTTCTCATCTTCCAGCTCCCCAGATACTCCGCGTACTAAAGTTGTATTACAAAGTCGCCAGTTCTCAGCTCCACAGATTGCTCCGCCTACTAAAGTTGTACTACAAAGTCGCCAGTTCTCAGCTTCTCCGCGTACTAAAGTTGTACTAGAAAGTCGCCAGTTCTCATCTTCCAGCTCCCCAGATACTCCGCGCACTAAAGTTGTACTACAAAGTCGCCAGTTCTCAGCTTCCAGCTCCCCAGATTGCTCCGCGTACTAAAGTTGTACTACAAAGTCGCCAGTTCTCAGCTTCCAGCTCCACAGATTGCTCCGCGTACTAAATTTGTACTAGAAAGTCGCCAGTTCTCATCTTCCAGCTCCCCAGATACTCCGCGGACTAAAGTTGTGCTACAAAGTCGCCGGTTCTCAGCTTCCAGCTCCACAGATTGCTCTGCGTACTAAAGTTGTACTACAAAGTCGCCAGTTCTCATCTTCCAGCTCCGCAGATACTCCACGTACTAAAGTTGCACTACAAAGTCGCCAGTTCTCAGCTTCCAGCTCCACGGATGCACATGGAGGTTCACAAGGTGCTGTGCCTGCCACGAAATCTGCGCATGGAGGTTCACAAAGTGCTGTGCCTGCCACGAAATCTGCGCGTGGAGGTTCACCAAGTGCTGTGCCTGCCACGAAATCTGCACATGGAGGTTGACAAAGTGCTGCGCCTGCCACGAAATCTACACGTGGAGGTTCACAAAGTGCTGTGCCTGCCACGAAATCTGCACATGGAGGTTCACAAAGTGCTGC